GATTCCCTCCAATTTCGTCAATATCAATATTTTTCTCGACGTTCATACTGCTTTCAGTGTCGATCTTTTTAACTTTCTTGGTTTATTTTCTGCTGCTTATAGTTATTTTGCAAGGGCAAAACTTATTAATGGGTGAAACATCAAAAATACGCTCGAAAACCTTGCATCATAGAACCTGCAAATGATCGTCAAAACTGGCTGTACAAATTGACATTGATAAATAATTCACCAATAAAAATTGCCAGACGGTTTTCAATGGTCGAAAAGGTGAAGGATGGGGGTCAACTGGCAAGAGAAAAAAACAACTTTCTATGTATTTTTCCCCTTATTTCATTCTTTGCTGGACTGTCTGCTTTGGGAGCTTTTGGTAGAGGAGCTGCTGGTATAGCTAAATTCGTAATCGAGTTTCCTTCGGATTTCTTGATTTGAACCAACAAGTACAACGACTACTTAAGCTGGAATGATGACAATCTGTGAAGAAATTTATCATTTAAAAGACCCTAATTGAAAATTACCAAAAGTGAAAGCAGTAAAGAATGTCCATTACTTGCTGGACTATCTGCTTTGGGAGCGCTTGGTAGAGGAGCTGATAGCTAAATTCGTAATCGAGTTTCCTACGGATTTCTTGATTTGAACCAACAAGTACGACGACCACTTAAGCTAGAATGACAATCTGTTAAAAATCCATCATTCAAAAAAAGCCTGATTGAAAATTGCCAAAGGTGAAAGCAGTAGAGAATGGCTTGTCATGATAGCTGCTATTTTTTTATTGGGATTCATTGAAGAAGAAGAGCTGAAGGAGGGTCCCACCACCCAAACACATCTTTGGCTCTGCAGGAATATAAAGATGCACCCCGACTATATGCGATCCTTCAGTATTGAGTCCATAAGTCAAATGCGCATTAGTGTGAATGATGATTCTTTCCTATAATGGGTAAGAAAACCCAGGAGGTACCAGAAACCCTCCTGTGTGCAAATGAATTTAATAATGCTTAACTATGCTGTTAAGTTCCAACTATTTTAATAAAGTGAGCTTATGCAGTGGCTTGTGCAATCAATTGTTCATCCTTAAACTATTTATTACATTTATTTATTTAACTGTTCATTGCATAGTAATCCCTACACCTTTTACCTTAACTAGTGTCCTCAAAATAAATAAAATCTTCTAAATACAGTTAGCGCAGAGCGAAGCGGATCTCTGCGGCTACCATATCTTCCGGCAAGCCTAGTGCATCCTCAGCTACCAGAAAGCCAAGAAGATGTTCAGGGTCGACCTCATGCAGGTTGCCTCAATAGTGCGGAACCAAGTTGTTGTTTCCCCTCTGAATCCAATTGTTATAACTTGCATCCAACAAGTTGAGTATCTTCCTACATGCCACCATCTGTACAGGGCAGTTGTATAGCCTGCGAATCGGGTCATCAGCCTCATTCATGTCACAAAGTTTGCATGGGTCCTCTAATGTTTGCCCCATTCTTCTATAATCAAACATGAACTGCCCATGGCCAGTCAACATCTAAGTTACTTTCCTGTTAAATTTTATTTCTGTCTTTCCATCACATTGGGGAACATTCCATGGGTGACTCTTCCTTTGTCTGATTCATCCCATCAGATCCTTTGCCACTTCAGTAGCGTCCTTTCTTTAACTTTTTCCTTAAGCTTGATCTTACTAAGCCTAGGTTCTGCATAAAATATAAATCCTTCTTGGTCTATATTTTGGCCTACTCTGTATAATTCAATATCAAGTGCCTCCATGAGATTTATTGAAGCCCAGCTGGGGCATTGGTTAGCCCCTTGAGTTGGTAGAGACCACGGCAAGGTACAGTGAAAGCGGTTGAAAGACGTTACTCTAGAGTTATAGTGATTTATCAGTAGGCAGATTTTATGCCCAAGGTACTATTGAATTTGGCATCACAAACCTTATTGAGAGTCCCACAGTAATCACTTCATTAATCAATGCTTCAATGTAGCAGCTCTTGTAGAATATCGATTTCCGATTCACGTTGGTGAAGGTACTAAAAAAGGCGCAAAAGAAATGTTGAGATAGTCGACCAAGGAAAACTGAAAAACTCACCGAAAACACAAGAAACTTAATGCAAAGAAGAAGGAAAATGAAAGATAAACACATAACGAACATAGCAGAGCTAAAGAGTTTAAACAAAACAAAACAATTTCAAAGGCCATAAGAAAGACATATGGAACTTAAACAATAAGGCATAACTAATATCATAGAACAAAAACAATTCTGAAAGTGCTAGAACGGAAGTTGAAGACAGGAAGGAGGAACATTCACAGGTTGAAAAATAAGCATGATACATTATAAACGACGAACAACAAGAGATTCGGAAAACCATCGAAGAGTATTGAAGATCATTATATAGTCGGGATGATTTCATCCAAGATGTAGAAATTCCAGTCATATAGATTAAGGGTCAGAGGAACTTTCAGATATAACAGAAGGGCAAATTGGAATAGCCATGAAATGCATGCGAAGAACAAGAGAACCCCTGTAGAAGATGGCATTCATTGTAACTGAAATGATGAAACTGGGAGGTAAATGTGTAATAGAAGCCTTAAAAACTCTTAATAATTACTGCCTCTCTGGAGGAAGTACACCAAAATAATGGAAGAATGTCATTATGATAATCTTGCATAAAAAGAGAGACATAACAGAAATCGGGAACTATCGACCTATCAGTCTGTTATCTCATTTATATAAGCTTTTCATGAGGATAATTACTAATAGAATGGGACCTAAGCAAGATTTTCACCAGGCATTAGAACAAGTAGGATTTAGAAGTGGCATTGGAACAAATGATCAGCTACGCTACCAGTAATAAAATTCTTGACAGAGAAAGTTGTAGAATACAATAAACCATTGATATTAATATTTGTGGACTTTGAAAAAGCTTTTGACTCATTTCAGCATTGCTCCATGTTAAAGGCTCTTACAGAGTTCAGTATTGACCATAGGTACATAATCCTTCTTCAGAATATACATATACCAAGGAGTCAAAATCTATCATGGCGACACCAAAAAATTCCTATTGGATAAAGATATTAGACAAGGAGACACCATTTGTAACAAAGCGCCATGAAGAATAACAACTGGGAAAATATCAGAGTAAAAATCAAGGGAATCTAAACAATCTAAGGGTTGCAGACGTTATAGTCCTTATTGCAGACAGGGTAGATCATGCCTGTCAGCTTCTCCAAGACCTCCAAAGTTCTTGTGCATGAGTGGGCCTCAAAATCAATTTCTCCAAAACACAATTCATGACCAACCTGGTATAGCCAAAAACATTTCAACGTATGGCAAGCAAATAGAATAAGTTGATTCCTATACATATTTAGGCCACGAGATTAAATTGGGAGGAGACAACCAGACCACAGAGTTTTACAGAAGATTTATTATTTATTCGAATTCACATGGGCATCCTACGGAAAAACTGAGGGATCAGATATTCCCATGTGCTTGAGGAGGAGGGTCTTTGATCAAGTGTGATTCCAGTTCTAACATATGGAGAAAAAACATTGACTCTAACCAAAGAAGGGCAATGAAGAGATCAATGTTGAATATATCCCTCAAAGGCAAAGTTCCGCATCAGATCATTAGGGAAAGAACCGGGGTTACAGATGAAAGAATAACAACGTTGAAATGGAACTGAGCAGGTTATGTTGCCAGAGTCAGAGATGTGAGACTAGGAAAATACTGAAATGGAAACCTAGACACGATGCATATCGTAACCGAGGACGTCCCCCAACAAGATGCTCAGACAACATTAGGCGCATCCAGCCCAACTGGATGCAAAGTGCTCAACAAAGGAGGCAGTGTAATGATTTACGGGAAGCCTATGTTTAGCAGTGGACTCAAAACAGCTGATGATGATAACTATTTCTGTGTATTTGGATCACCAAACTATTTCATATAGTAGAGCCCAAACTAATTTTAGCCCTATTTGATTTCAGTTCCTATAATGTCATAAAAACATCGCACAATGAAAATTAGGCAATTAAAAATCACATAAGTGCTCTCACAATCACTCCTTATGAAGAACGAGAGAATGCGAAAATGAAAAATAGGTACCTAAACAGTGAACCAAGACAAGCCAACCAAAAAATGGAATAGAGTGGAAGATGAGGAGGCGGAAATGAAAGACAATACGTACCTACAGTTGTAACGTAAAACTCAGAATTTAGAGCAAAACAAACTAGGAGAAAAGTTTAAGTATTCAACTTTGGAAAGGATAATTCTATTCTACCCTCTGAGTTGTAATAATCTCTCTTTGCAGAAATCTACTAAATGTTATTGTAATTTTTTCAAAGAACTTGCGTATCTCAATTGAGAAAGATATTGATTAGAAATTTCAACAATTTTCATCTCTTAAGGCCTGGGTTTCCTTTCTAGTGTTCCTCTTCTACAGTTAAGATTGGGTTTTGCATTCTTATCACCCACTTGTCTGGCAATATTATTTACTCCTTGTATTGTTGCAATCGTTCCTTTCCATGAATACCTATTTACTCAATAAATTCTATCTGGTTTGTGTGCTAAATCGAATCTTCCCCTCTTCTATATACTTTTCCAACTGGAAACCATTCAAATACAAACATAAATGATAATACCACACTCCCCCAATTCCCAACTCACACATAAACATCACTGAGTTTTTTTTTCCCTTTTACGCATTTATTCCGATGTCTCCTAGCTCATTGGTATTAATAGGACGACGCTACGGATTTTTCCAGATGCCTGGAAAACCTGTAAAAACTTCATACAATGCGCCCTGCCGCGATTAGTATGCGAAAAACGTTTATATTGCTTTCTGTTGTCTTGTCAAGTCTCTTTTTTCCAATTTTGGGCTGGAAAAAAAAATTCAATGCAACTGATGGGGATGAGCTAAAGTCGTTTATTAGAGAACACTGAAATGAAATTTAATCGGAATAGAATGCGCGAAGAATAATAATTTTTGGTATTTTCAATAATGTAATACTAAAAACTTACCATTTGTGTTGGTGATTTTGGTTTGCGGTTGATGTCAGGCATCTTTTGAGAAGCTGCAAACAAAAAAATTGAGCTAGTTAATACAAAATTGTTTCTTCAAATAAAGGCACCCCTATTTGTATAATCAGAAAATAAAGCAACGGAAAAAATCAGATGTATAATTCAAGAGCAGGAAAGTCTCATTCATTCCCCTGGATTAGCGCGTTAAATTTATCCGCCAGAAAGGAAATGGCACAGTTTCCTCCCTTGTAAGACAAATAGCGTTCACTGTCTTTATGGATGGGAAAATTGCCACTTTCCGCCAAATAAGAAATACTTATTCGTTTCCTTCTTTGTATATAATTTCATATAATGCAACAGGCGAAGGGAATATTTAGATACCATAATTATATCAACAAAATATTAATTTTTTGGAAATTTCACCTAAAAACTGATGTCAAGACAAACTTTAAATATGAGAACATGAATCAATTTTCCTGGTTTCAATAAAATTAAATAAAAATTGGTTCTTCAGTTGAAAGTGTAAAAACGTCAGCGTTATAATGATTCGCTGTTCAATCAATTCTTCTATAAATCACCTTAATAAGACAAATTCATTGAATTAAATTAACATAGATTCACCAAACCGATTTTTCTTCACATAAAAGGATCCTAATAAAGTTGTCGGAAACAGAAGTGCTGAAAGGCAAATTAGGGAACTGATAGAGAATTTTAGACATGCCGTAATGGAATATTTGGAATTGAAATAAAAATGCAAATTTATGAGACTTATTGCATTTAGGTGCAACCAGCTATATCCGTATTCTGTTAATGTTTATTGATTTTAATTGTCCATTATCCATTTATAGTCATAAATATGCAAACGGCTTTTATTGTAACACCATAAAGCACCGTATAATTTTACTCTTTTAGCCCATATGGAAATATTTATTATAGTTATACAGGGTGTTTGGTACTTCGATGTAGGAAGTTTTCAATGTGTGATAGTTGGGGTCATTTGAAAGCTATTTGATCATACTTACCCCTATGCAAAGTTTCGTGGTTTTCGAGTTATCAGCAGTTTTAAATATTTTTGGGAAATATTTAAATTGTTCCTAAAACATATTGTTTTCTTTGGTAGTAAACACTTCAACCTTTTTCAATTTTTATTTCCGATATTCCTAATATGCTCTCTTTCGAGAGAATACGGAAAGAAAAACTGAATGATTGATACAAAAAATATGCAGCCCAAGTTATGTGTTAAAATAGATGGATTCAAAATATCTAAAAATGGCGATATCTCAAAAAACTGTAAAACCTTGCATGAGGGTAAATACCGTCAAACAGCTTCCAAATGACCCCAACTATCACTCATTGAAATCTCCCTATCGATGTACCAAACACCCTGTATATTTTCTCCTTGACATTATCATATTAATAAAATGTAGATAGTTTTATTCATTAAATTAGGCAATTTCTATGCATATTGTTAAGCAACTCAGATTTTTTTTTTAATTTGCTTTATAACTCCATTATTTTATAGTCTTTACCAGTAATAACTCCACAATAAGTCTCTATTTATTACGGTAATTCAATTTCCTACCTGTTTCGACAAATTTATGCAAATTTAATCCGGGATCTGCCAGAGTTTTATCAAAACTGTTTGTTGTTTAACATTCGTTGTTTCAAAAAATAAAAGAAAAAATGCGAGTGAAAATTTAAAATTCAAATGTCGCAAGTCGTGGGTGAAACATCATTTGTTACGTTTTTTTTGATGAACTTTTATGTTGAACAACTTATCGAAAACCAAATATTTTGATTGTAGTTTTATGAAAAATATTGGTTTTTTAATTTTTTAGGTGGTTACTGCTCTTTCCTTAGTTTCCTTAGGTAGATACATTTAGGAGGCAAAAACTCAGCTGCTGCAGTCCATAATATCATGAACCCAAAGCAATTTTGCAATATTGTTCTTTCAAAAAACTTAGAAATTGTATAATTTTCATGTATTTTGCTAGTAATGAACAGTGAAAAATAGACCCAGACTAAAGATTACAAGTGTAGTACTAGCAAGGTTATCATGAAAGTAGGGTTATGAATAAAGTTATAATTATTATCGAAATCATTTCCGATACCATACCTGAATATGAAATATAGATGTTTGTAGTTTGTAGTCTACACCCTTGCTTTGTGAAAGAACTAAACCTGGAAATTTGAAATTTATTCTACTCGGCAAGAGCCACACTGAATTCAGTTCATAACTACTTGCCAAGGAAGAAAATCAATATTTACACAATGAATTACATTATTGGGAAAAAGTAAAACTGACTTTTACTATAGTTTCACTATATTTTATTACAGTAGTAACATTTTGCACTGTCGCTTCATCAGAGTGACTAGAACTAGAAGTAGAACTAGAAAATTAGTTCAACTTTTTTCCACGGACTTGCAAAGCAGCTTATTGGAGTAGAGTATAGAAGTAGAGTCAACACTGGATAAATGGTCAAAAAGACAACGTTTGACCCGTTGGAATACAACACCTGGACAAAATCATGCAAGGGCTTTAATAGGAAACCCTTCAACGAAACTAACGACTGACGTGGTACGACTTACTCGCACAGACATGAGACAAGCAGAATACTAGCCATCTATCTCCCTCAACATTAATTGCAACAACCAACATTCTATGCTATTACCAGAATACTAGGGGTCTCAACTCAAAAACCCACGAATTTTTTACTTCCCTACATGCTGCTGACTATCCACTCATAGCAATCACGGAAACATGGCTACAGGTTAATGTTCTAAATGGTGAACTTTTTAATAACAACTACATGGTGTTTCGGTGTAATCGTAATAGAGAAGCAAGGAACAAGTCACGTGGAAGAGGTGTTTTGCTGGCTATCTCGACTGAGCTAAGGGCGACCAGGCTCGATCTACAGGAGGTTCTGGAACTTAATCCTGAGATTGATATTGTTGGGAGTAAGGTTGTAGTAAACTTTAAATAATTATATATTTTTGTCATTTACATACCACCTAGTCTTGCTCATGCTGAGATTCTATCATTTCTCACACTTGAATCACTTCATTATTTATGTGATAAAAACTGCGTAATTGTTGGAGACTTTAATCTACCTGCAGATATCATCCTAAAAATATATTAAATGATGGATTTGTTTAGATTCTGCTGGATTTCTGCAATTTTTTTTATTTAAACCAATTTAACAATATATATACTTAACTCTAATCAACGTACTCTTCACTTAGTACTTAGTAATCTTCCATGTAATGTGACCCGTGATTTGGTACCCTTTACCAGAAGATAATCATCACCCTGCACCTGCACTCTGCATAGTTTACAAACACTTAATTCCAAAGTCATAGAAGTTTCTCCTAATAGAGACACTAAACGCTATAACTTTCTTAAAGCAAACTTTCCAAAATTATATAACTTGCTCGCCAATACTGAATGGTCTATGTTGGACGATTGCTCATCTGTGGTTGATGTGTGTGAACATCTTTACTCTACACCGATGTATACCATATTCGATCAATGTGTCCCACTAATCAAAATTTATGAAAGAACATACCCTGTCTAGTATACATCTGAGGTAATTGAAAATATCAAACTTAAGGCACGCATTAACAAAAAATTGAGAAGAAGAAGAACATCTATCTCACCATCTTAAAACTGAGTACTTAAATCTTAGAGCTAAAATAAAATGTGACATCGATACAGCCTATAAAAATTACTTGAACAGATGTGGAAGCAATATTAAGGCCGCGTTAATGGCCGCCATATTTAAACTGTGATTGGTTGATTTTTCAAAACTGATTTTAAGGTCTTTAAAAAAACGGCACATCAGAATTGGCTCAAATTTGGCATAAACATTATTTGATCCATTATCTACAATTCCTTATTTTGGTTTTTCGATATTCAGCCTTTTTTTTTTTGAATTCAAAAATCATGTTCGCAACCACCAAAAGAATTAGGCAATCTCAATCACGTGATTTTATAATGGCCGTTCGGGTCAAATATTGCAGTGACAAGCCGGTGACGTTCATAAGGAGAGCATTTGTGTTCTGACCCTTGTTGCTTTCGAAGTGAATTTTATGTGTTTCTACGTATTTTCCATTGGTTTTGGTCATATTGTTGCTTTCATAGTGAATTTTATAGTTTTTAGTATGTCTACGTATTTTTTAGTGTCCTGGCCTTTGTTTACAAAGTGAATTTTATAGTGTTTATAATGTTTCTACGTATTTTTTAATTCAATAATAAATTCTGAGATGGAGAGTGAATATCTTAAAGTATTATTATTAGGGGAAAATCGAGCCTCTGTTAGATCCTTTCTTTTAATTGCAGCAATCCATAAAGCCCTGCGTTGTTTTGATGATTCACTTTTGTAGATCAAAAGCCGATGATTGAAAATAGCAGGAACTGAATAAAGTTTCACATTAGCCCTGTTACCTCAACTTCGACACCCAATTACGATGCAAATCGCTGGCATTTTATTTAACACAATACCTAAACACACAAAAAAAAAACACAAAATCCGATAATTTAAATCTTGACGTTTGTCCAGAATTTGACAGAAGTCATTGGCTTGACCCAATGCTTGACCCGAACTTCCATATTGAATTTCGTTTTTGACAGGTCGGTAGATTGCCTAATTAGGCAATCTACTGACCTGTCAAAATCGAAATTCAATATGGAAGCTCGGGTCACAGAACATATCACCTATAGAAAAATATCTCAAATGGAAGAATCGCGACAAAGGTTTTAAGTTAGGTTTTCATTCAACGATGGCGACACTGTCGGGAGATAAGAGAAATTTATAGGTATCTGTGGTGTGGACAGTGATTTGTGTTGGTTGGTTTTGTCATTTATTTTGTCATTTTAAAAGTCAAAATTTGAATTTTTAAATTGTGTTGTTGTACCCCACGGTTTCCACGCGCGTTAAAGTGAAAATTGAAAATGTTTTGGTTGAAAAAAAACCTAATTTTTGTTCGTATTTTTTTGTATTTATTCGTTTGTTTCGTTTCGTTCGTATTTGTATTTATTATTCGTATTTACTTT